CGCCCCTGATTGTGTTGCACATATTTATCAAAACAAATGTATATAGTGTATATGTGTAAGTGTGGTATACTGCAAAATCAGTAAACAACATTAACTTGAACACTAGAACTAGACATTAACTTTACTTGAACTTGAAAAGTTGACTATATCAGACTTGACAAACTCACCAACAGCAAGTTACACAAACAAAGCTAGACAAGAGACTATTGAAACATGAGGGCTATTTTAAACACAATAGGACATAACTGGATTATGGTGAATTCTTAAGTTAAATGCAGAGTTTAAAATATAAAAAAACCAAAACCAAAATTATCTCAGTTTGGACTAGGAACAGAACTTATGAGTTAACGCCTTAGTAGCATTACTTTGATTGCATGTTTCCTCTACATTTAGACAACTTGGTTTGCAACAAATATGACAGAGAAACTTCATCTGAATCAGTCACGCACAAGATGAAGTCCCATTCACTCTTTCAATAGCTTTGTACCATGTGTCTTTGAATATGTCAATTCCATTTTGATCTTTTCTATTGACATTATTTTTGAATGACATAAGTTATATATTCTTGAAATTAATCCCTTAAGGTGTGAAGGAACCTGCAAAACTGAATGTATTCACGATTTAGGAGGCATTTAAAGGTGGGGTAAGTGATTTTTCAAAAACGCTTTAGAAAACTGATTCGGGCCGAGTAGCAAAACAACCTTGTAGCCAATCAGCAGTAAGGGGCGTGTCTACTCATGATGTGGAGGAGAGAGCGTTCAGTGCACAGCACAGGACGGACATTAGCCGAGCGACAGAAAGATAAGGTGCGTCCCAAATCGCGTACTTATGCACTATTCTATGACGTTTTGTGGTATAAATAGTGCGAGTAGTGCGTTCACACTGAAAATTCCAAAAATAAAAAGTGCACTTTAAAAACGAAGTGTGGAATGTTGAACACTTCATGCACTCAACTGCCGCAGCTTTAATTACATAGCGAAGGGGGAGGGGCTATCAGACTCCATTTATGAATGACAAAATAACCTTATATAATTCATACACTACATGGTTGAGTACAAGTGCATAGTGTATAGTGCGTCGTTTGGAACGCAGCTATAGAGATGGCGGATAAACAAAAGAGGAAACCGTCTGCGGAACAAAAGAAGGCAATAAGGCAAGAAGTAGGACGTGTAAATATCGGATCAGCTTTCCAGCGCTGGAGAGAACTCAAGGAGCGGAAGGCCTGCGATCGGACACCGAGGTCGCTTTGTTTCTTCTCGATAGGCGAGTAACGCCGTGTCTCCGCCGCAACAGCTAAAGTCTGTCTAGTACACTGGACGTGACAAAGCGACCGTTGAAAATCATTTGAAATGTGTGTCAATACGTCATGAATAGAACGCAGCAGCAGTTTTCTGTCGGGGATTTGTCGTGTCGCATCCAGTGTAGACCATAGATATGTATATATATCTATGGTGTAGACCGCATCACTGATTATAATGAGTTCTATAGTATTTTGTCGCGCCGCGCCACTCGCATGTATATATATATAAACATTTAAAGTTTTTCCTTTCCCAGCTAGTTCCCAAGGCAACATTTCTCATTTTCATTTAGTTTAACTTGCATGTACTAAAATAACTAAAAGTAAAATTAATAAAAACTATATAGACATACTTTTAAAAAAAGAATAAAATAAAAATGGGCAAAAACAACAAAATTACTAAAAATAAAATAAAAATGTATTAAAATATACAAATAAAACCTAATTCAAAATATTGGAAAAGCATTAGTTTTTTTTTTCAACTGTTTACACACATTTTCAAAACTTTGCCTCTTTTCTCAAAACTTTACACACAAATCCAAGAATTGCACACACAAAATGCAAAATGCCTCACATCTCTTGCAAAATGAAGCACTGCATTCAAAATATCACAAACATCTCAAAAGCAAACATTTGCAAACACCTTTGCCATAATATTAATTCCTGTTAGAATTTTGTGTTACAGAGAATTGTGTGTTGTGTTTTGTAAAAAGTGTTTTATGAAACTGAAAACTGAGTCAAAGGCCGAAAATTAGTGTATGGTTCTGCAGATTTGGTCTGTGGTTCTGGCATTTGAGTGTCAGCTTTCAGAAATTGTGTGACAAGTAAAGATTTTGTGTGCAAGCGGTTGAAAAAAAAAAAAAAACTATTAGTATCTCAAGGATAATAAAATAGCACTGGGTGTGATGCATGAGTTCTCACACATGCACGCGCACACACACACACACCCACACCCACCTTTAGGTTACAAGAAGTCAGTCACTGTAAAACAAGTTAATTACTGACCAAACAAAAAGAATGACTAAAAAACAGGGCATATAACCTATTTTCCTCATGTGTTAACCACACATCTATAAACAGAAGTTACACTTTATGTACTGTATATGGTCACAATGCATAAAGATGAGAAACATTGTGAATTGCCACAATAGATAATTAGGCATAAAGAAAGTGAAATTAAGACATGTAGGGACACATAAGAGCCTACGGTTTCTCCTTTTCCTTAAATAGGGCTTGGTGTTTGTTAGGGCTAGTTCTCAGGGACATGAATCGGAATCATCATCACACCTAAATCATCATTACACCACCAGGATTCAGCTGCCTCTAGTGGCAAGAACCTGATAATAGAATGTTTGTTGTGACCTATTGAAGTAATTCTGGCCCTTCCTGATCAACTCATACATCTCGCCCCAACTGATACATCAACTGCACTGAAAGGAATACCATAATAAATTAAACGCATAATAAATTAAATCACTGATTCTTCAGAAGTAGGACAAAACAGGGTGCAAAATTGAAAAAATAAAACCTTGTACTCAGACAACTGAAACTACATTTATGTATATTATATGTACTAAGCTACTGAGCTATGCTTTGATGCAACCTCCCAACTTTTCTCTTTTTTTATCAAAATGTGCTTTTCTCCTTGGACTGTGTAATATAATTTCAACTTTATTTTTAACAGCAGTCAAGATGCGTTTAACATTTCAAAACACATTCTCATGTTAGAAGACAGATTACACTTTCACATGTGACCAACAATTCCACAACAAATATAAAATATCATAATAAAATATTCCTCTGACGGAGGTGACAGACCGGACAGAGTTGACAAATCTGACAGTGGTTACGAAAACCTGAATTTGTAGTCATTTTAATTATCTATTACATTGAATCAATCAGTTACTGTATTAAAACAAACAGCGAGTATGCTGTTGTTTATAAAGCTTTTATTCAAAATTCACATTTAAATATTTTGATATATCATTGGAACACAAATAATCGATTTTTACTTTTAAAAACAGTTAAATGAACAAGTTGTTACCTCTATCCATTTACATTCATCATATTCAGATTTAAACATCTTGACAAATGATCCAAAAATGACCAGAAAACATGTGATCAGCATACAAACAAACTGTATTATGTATAGATATGTTTTATTTTGTGTTCCCTCAGCCTCATGTTCCCTGAATCTTGTTCCCTCAACCCTAACTCTGCTAGAAGTGATGACTATCAATCCACAAAAGCAATATATGCTGTCATGTCACATATTTAGTATTTATACATTATTAGAAAAATGAAACACTCTTTTATATCTAATATAATTCAAAATGACTTGAAAACCACAAAAATATGATGACTTCACGTTGAATGCCAACTCCATCATTGGCCCGTCACCACCATCATAAAATCTGATGGTGGCGACATCTGACGGTGTTGACAAATTTGGCATTTCTTTCACAAAACACAAAAAAGTTCATGTAGTAGTCGTTTTGTTTTTTCTGTTGATGCTAGATGCTAATAGAACCTGCTTCAGGGGCACAAAATTATCTAAATATTTCAAATAATTTCCTCTGAAATTGGAAGATGGTGTTGATATATCATGGTTGTGACACGGGAAATATTAACATTAGGATTTAAAACATTCTAAAACTATAAAACTTACCAGAGCCTGCCTGACACTGATGTACTCTGCAGAGGTGGAATGTGGAAAGGGGGTCGCAGTGGTTCCCAACCCTGGTCCTGGAGGCACCCCAACACTGCACGTTTTGCATGTCTCGTTTTGGGGGGGCATAGCAAAGCAAAAGAAACCTATAAATTGATCTTAAAAAGGCCATTGAACATAAAAAGTAATCAGTAAGCAAAAGATAATATAGTCCTTTAATGTGAGAAAGGTATTTGATTCCGTGGCTGAGTATGTCAATGGTTTAAATAAATTAAAAAATAAGTAAGTTTGAACACACGCCTGTCACAGTTTCAGAACTGACTGAACAGCTCCTTCTGGTGGAAAAAAAAGTGACAATACATGGTTATTAAGTGCTATAAAGCCATTTTTTGGAATTTACTAAAATGGCAAAAGCTGATTTGAATCACTTTTATGCTGAAGAACCATTCTGGGCTAAACAGGTTCTTTATACGTTTTTTTATTTCTATTATTATTAGACATTTATGATCTACTAATCTTTTTCCATTTATTTCCACTCAACTCGTGCCTAAGGGGAAAACAAAAATTGGGCTCTATTTTGAGTTTTTCTTAGGCTATCTACCATATGTGACCCTGGAAAACCAGTCATAAGGGTCAATTTTTTTAAATTGAGATTTATACATCATATGAAAGCTGAATAAATAAGCTTTCCATTGATGTATGGTTTGTTAGTATAGAACAATATTTGGCCGAGATACAACTATTTGAAAATCTGGAATCTGAAGGTGCAAAAAAATCTAAATCCCGAGAAAATCGCCTTTAAAGTCGTACAAATGAAGTTCTTAGTAATGCATATTACTAATCAAATGTATTTTTGGCTATTGCTACAAATATACCTGTGCTACTTAAGACTGGTTTTGTGATCCAGAGTCACATATTTACTGTAGTGCACTTAGATTCAGACATGTGAACATTTGTTTGAAAAATTGATGTGAAAAAGATTTAAAGTATTTCAACAAAAGGCTGAAACATAAAAAACAGCTGCTGCAACAACATCAATTTATTAAAAAAGACAAAACAAATTAAAGTGTTTTCTAAATGCACTTTATGTTTCATATATCATTATGCATAAAAGCTACAGATTACCATAACAAAATGTCCTACAGTATTTTATGAAAAGTGAATGATGATGCAATGACGGCGAAAGCATTCGATTTCTCTTTTTCTTTTTTTTAATTTTCATGTACAGGTATTATCATGCTTAATTCTCCACTTGTCAAAAAGTTCCCCCCCCCCTCACAAAATTACACATTTTTATTTGATCATTTTATCTTAATACTTAACAGATTACAAAACTCTACATAATGCAGTTGGTCGACTTCTAAGCTAATTCCCCCGCCCCCAACTTCATATGAACAAATATAGCATTTGTTGTGTAGACAGACAAAAATAAACCAAAAAGGCTCAACTTTAAGTATAAAATTTCTCAGTATGAAACATTCTTAAAACAAAATAAACTAGGAAAATAGAAGAAAACATTAATATAAAAGAGAAATGCAAACAGAAATGCATGAAGACAATTATGCAGATGAATAACACCGTACCTCTGTGTTGTGGATGCACAGCATACACTCTTACATTTAATCAAGCACAAATGCAAACATACACATGTTGCACGGGCTCACACATGCACAAATACACACATACCAAACAATGGCACGTTCTTAGAAGTGGATCATTATAAAACAGGTCAATATAAGACCTAGCATTACAGACTGGCCTAAAAACAGGATATAAGGACAGTAAAGAACAGTTGAAAAGAGATGCAACAGTTTATGCAAAAAAAATTCATTTTGGCAAACTTTTACTAAACTGACCCTTAGGGATCATTAAACTACCCATCTTTCTAGCCATGAAGCATTTGCTATTCCTTCTGTCATCTCACTGTCTAAATTCATTTGCTTATAGCTTTCTTCTGTGTTAAAGCTGAACATATTTAATGCTGAATGTGGAGTAAAGCAGCACTTCTTGGCTTAAACCACCAAATTGGTTTCCTGTACCGTGAAAATGTGATATTCTACAATCTATAACTATTAGATGCATTAGAGACATCTTTTACCTCAACGAGCAAATAAAGTACTTAAATTATCTGAGGAAGAACAATTAGTTGGTTTTCTCATGCTTCATATAAACCAGCATAAATGAATTCAATGTTTCCATAAAAGTGATTTTCAGCTGATATTAAAATGCTGCTCTATTTTGATGAATCAAAACTCTGAATCTTATGCACACGTTATCATCCGTACAAAAATAGTAGAAATTCTCAATACATGAAAACAAGGAATGATGATGTATGAGAATACAAATTATAATACAAGCATTCATATGCACTAAACTATACTTCTGAGTTCTAGTAAACAGATTGAGAGTAAGTAATCCAGTTAGAGGTACCAGAGTTGACTATAAACACACCCACACTTACGGTTTAACACAACTTACACAAACTCACACTGCAACATCGCTTAAGCAGTTAAAACACGTCAACACTGCTTCAATAACCTGCATTTCCTTAGTCTTTCTATTCCCTCATTTTTCTACCTCACGAGTCCCCTCCACCTCCCATTCTTGCTTTTCACACTTTCCTTTTTCTTTCAAACCTATCTTTCACCTTTAACCAAATATCATTCTCATGTTAGTTGGGTTACTTCATGCCCTAATTTGTATTGAGATTAGGATACTTGCTGACTTGTACCTCATTTACATAGTTATTTGTACCAATTGGTCACATTGTTTTATACCGGTATCAGAGTTCTCTTTTTAATATGAATTCACATGTATTTCTGAGCTCAGATGCACTCCTAGAACATCTAGTACCATTTTTTTTTTCACTGCCATCGAGCACATCCCGTCCTCTTCACAGTTGCTGTTCCTCGTCTTCAGTGATGCCCTGGGCTTTAAGCTCCTCCAGTACATTGTCAATATAGCCATAATCTGGATAGCCATGTGCAGTAAGATTGGAGCCAAATTCTGTCTTGTGATGGATCTCATTCCAGATGACAGTGTCTGATTCTCCTGTGGTGCTGGAGGTGCCCACTGAGAAGATCAGCCGTCGATCCCACGCCACCAATAACAGCCTCAATGCCTAAGAACCAGATAACATTGATATAATTGCATTAATAATAATTAAAACTACATTAAATCTAAATGTGTTCTCAGATCCTCTTTGGTACATTTGGTGGATAGATGTGCTGGCAAAATTTTGCTCATATTCTGATGTAAATGTACCTGAAGTTTAACCTTAAGAGATATAGTGGCAATAAAAAATATATATAATAATAATAATTAAAATAAAATCATTCCATATGTTTCATTGATGTAAAACAACAGAAAAATATATGACTATTCTAAAGTTTGGGCTCATTAAGATTTTACACACATATATATATATATATATATATATATATATATGTGTGTAAAATCTTAATGAGCCCAAACTTTAGAATAGTCATATATTTTTCTGTTGTTTTACATCAATGAAACATATGGAATGATTTTATTTTAATTATTATTATTAGTAGATATAAAAAGGTTAAGAATTTTTTTTTTTTTTTTACGACCATAAGTTTTAATGCAATATAAAAAAAATAAAAAAATAAAATAAAATAAAATTATATATATATATATATATATATATATATATATAATGTATGCATGCAGGTGAAGGAGGATGTACTATATATCTAACTTTCAATATATTGTTGAGCGATAATATATTTTCCATTTTTCAACAATACAAAAATCAAGCAGTTGAGATTGCAATATAGTACGTATCATTTTGAGTGTACTGTATGTATCTGGGTAAGGTTGGATCGACTTATAGTAGTTGTATCATTCGTTAATTAATTTGAGTTATTAATTTGTTATCTGGTAATATTGAAAATTATGCAACCTGTACGGTTTTGTTCAATTTTGTATCAATTTGTATTAATCAATGAATGATGTAAGGTAACTTTTATTATTATTATTATAGGTATTATTTGCTTTACTCTACTAAAGAGTGTTCTTTAAACTGTCTAAATGCTTCATCAGGATGATTGAGTTATTTTGATGTGCTAAAAGACCAACAGGAAATATATGTGTGTGTGTAGCTGAGAGTGAGACAAGAAGTGTTATTTTAAAGTTCCTACATGCTCGCTTATAAGAAAATTATTTGTATTAAATACTTAGAAACACATACAGGGCACATAGTTACAGCAGATACATAGTTAGATACCTTAAATGGACACATATGTTGAAAATGTGTTATGATTGGATGAAATAGAAGCATCCGGATTTGATTAGGGTATAAATGCTGAGTCAACATATTTCTCCTGGTCACATTCTGCAGCCATGTAATGACTGTATGACTGTCACCTTTTCTAGCAAGAAAATAAACTTTCAAAAGACTTATGTCTCTTACCTTCATTGAAATGGAAAATTGCCAAGACAATGACAAATGAATTTGCACCAAAATACTGTAGAAATATATTGCACGGTAAAATCCTTAATTTAAAAAAGCACTTATTTTTAGTCTTAAAGGGGTCATATGATGCTATTTTAAAGATCATTATTTTGTGTATTTGGTGTAACAGAATATGTTGACATGCTTTAATGTTCAAAAAACACATTATTTTTCAAATACTGTACATTATTGTAGTTCCTCTATGCCCCGCCTCTCTCAAACGCGTTGTTTTCTACAAAGCCCCTCCTTCCGACAAGCACAGTCTGCTCTGATTGGCCAGCTGACCCAGTGCATTGTGATTGGCCGAACACCACAAGCACGCGTCAGAAATGTAAAGTCCCTTTCCATAATTGCGAGCTTCAGCTTTCAACATAAATGTAAAGACAGTACATAATGTCCTTAGTTTTACCATCAGTTCAAGCCCGAAAGGGGAACAGAGTTGCGTGACAGACACAGTGATGATGCTCGTATGTATTTGCAGTACACAAGCCGCGATTAAGAAAGCTGACTCCACTGTGATGTGACCCTGTCTCTCTCTCACGCGCACACACACACATGACGCGATACTCTACACGGCGCAAAACTCAGCATTTGAACAGTCAATAGCAAATACTTAAACTAAAAAAAAAAAGCAAAGTTGGAATTGACCCAATTTTATTTAGAAATAGCCTTTGCACAGCTAGCCTTGTAGGCTACTCTCCTAGGTTCACAAAACTGTCGTCCATAAAATGCGTTGCACAAATTCTCAAACATCTGGGTTGTGCTGTTCTGTTGTAAAATAATAATAAATCTTAACCAATGATTCCTCATTGCATCTACTTTCGGAAAGGCCAAATAAAGTGCTTTTGCTTTCGCACAGAAACACACACTGTCTCCCTGACATGCATGGCTGCATCAACATTACTGCGGTTCCTGAAACCACGCCTTCTTTGTTTGCATGAACATTTGGGCGGCATTACGCAAATATTTCCACATCGTGACGTAGAGATGTGGGGGCGTGTTTGAATGAGGCGTTTTAGCCCGGTCTGGATCAGCCTTCTCTTTTAGATAGAATAAATCCTTTTGTGGGAGACTTTGAGCTTTGTAACTCTGCAGATCGTATACATGCACAAATAGCTACATAACACACTAAAGAAAAGGAAAAATAGAAATCGCATCATATGACCCCTTTAAAATTCTGCAATGTGACGTGGTCGCTACCAAAGAATTACTGTCACTACCGATAATGTGCAGTCACTACCGAAACATGGGATGTTTTGTCAAAAATAAAGTATACTGAATTTTCAACTAAGATGTTATGATAGTTTTTGGTTCAATGTATATTCAAACTAATGAATCC